ATCTCCCATGCCCCCATTAATGTTGATATTTAATGTTGATTGTCATATCTTCACTCCAAAAAAATGCATTAACTACACACCACTATTTAATATTGATATATATTACACATAAAAAATTAAACATGGTTTTTTTGTTAATTGTCATTATGTTTTGGTAGTTCCTATGCATCATTGATTGTCATTATGTTTTGGTAGTTCTCATGCATCCAAATGTTGACTATACGTGATGACGTGAATGTTCACATTAGATGACGTGAATGTAAATGTTCACATTAAATGACGTTGAGATAAAGGAAATGTTAAGGTTCACATCATTATTGCATCAAATTACATAACCACAAGCCTTAGCTTTCATTTGAATATAAATATGACGTGAATGTTCACATTAAAACATATGAATGTGAATGTTCACATGAATTCTGGAATATAGATATCAACATTATGAACATTAGCATTTGTATTCGCATTCATATGTTTTAGTGTGAACATTCATGTTATCTGATATTAACATTATAAACATTAACATTTGTATTCACATTCATATGTTTTGTCATCTGATATTAACATTATGAACATTAGTATTTGTATTCGCATTCATATATTTAAGTATGAACATTCACGTCATGTAATGTGAACATTCACATTAACGTCATCTAATGTGGACATTCACGTCATCACGTACAATCAACATTTCTGGTCGTGTAACAAAGAGGCTAACAGCCATGATCGACAAGGTGACAACCGCAGTAGACAAGTACTTCACCCGGTCGTCCGGGTGGTCATCCGGCCAGTCGTCCAGCAGGTCGACCGGTGGCCAAAAACGCGCGCCTGTCATTGCCACGCGTCTCCATCTGATGGAATGACTAGAGAAAGTCGAACTGAAGAGTGCTGGAGAGGAGAGAGATCCCAACATTTAGATGTATGAGAACTGCCAAAACATAATAACAATTAATAAAAAACCATATTTAATTTTTTTTTATGTGTAATGTATATCAACATTAAATAGTGGTGTATAGTTAATGCATATCAACATTACAAATAAAAGGGTATAAGAGTCTAAGAAAATAGTGTAAATTAAGAAAAAATGACCTTATAAAATAAAGGTATAAATACATGGGACTAAGTAGGTTATAAATTTCCTTCATGGATCTCTTGTGTTAGAACACTCCTAAATAGGATTTATCAATAAAAACCCCATAAGAAAATAACTAAGTAAAATAAATGTTAAATACAGAATTAGATGCGCCAGATAAGATTTCTATTTACATAATACTCATTACGTGGTGTTTTGGGAAGTTAGTAAAAAGCTAATTTTTTGACTTTTTTAGTATATTTTGTCTTTTTATGAATAAAAAATGTGAAAGGTGATGTGACCCACAATGAGTAAAAAGCTAAAAATTGACTTCTTTTTTTTTTACTTCCCAAAAGAAATTATAATGTACATCCCTTTTTAATTACAACCTATTTTTAAATTATTTTACTTTTTTTTTATATATTTTATCTCATTTGGCTCTCTATTATCTTTACGTCTCTAATCTCTCCTCTTATACCTCATTAAGCTAGTGTTTGGCAAGAATTATTTTAGTTGACCTTTTGGAGTTAGGATTTTTTTAATTTAAGACTAAAAAATTTATATTTGGAAAGAATTTTTCACCTTGCTTGGTTATCATTTTTCAAAAATACTTTTCAAAAAATTCTACTTTCTTATTTTTCGTATTTTTTTGTTTTTACTGATTTTTTTAATATTTTAAGCAATTTTTTTAATTTTTAGACATACCTACCATAAATATATCTAAAAAGTAAAAAAAAAAATTGAAAAAAACCTTTTAAAAATTCACTAAATACCAAAAATACAAAAAAAAAATACGAGAATTCAGTACATTTTTTTATATTTTGATGTATTTATTAATTTTTTAAAATATTTTTTCACAAATTTTTTACTTTTTGGATACATCTAAGTAAGGTGCATCTAAAAAAGTAAAAAATATGTTTAAAATTTTAAAAATATTCACTAAAAACAAAAAAACACAAAAATCAAAAAACTCAATTTTTAAAAAACTTAATCCAAAAAACTCAAACCAAACACAGTGTTTATTTTTATTTTTTTAACTTTTATAAGAAAAAAAAAAGTGAAATGATTATAATTTAGATGTGACTTTTTATTTTCTTATTTAATTTATTTTTTATTTTCTTATTTAATTTATTTTATCTTTTGTATTTTTTTTAGTTCCAACTAAAATAGCCAAACGAAGCTTAAAACATTATTTGACATAAATTAAATAAATATTATTATTTAAGTCATATCGTTTTTCTATTTTTTTACAAATTTTCTATAAAAAAATAAAAATATATTTATTTACAACATTCTAAACAACACTTGAGCCTGAACTTTATAAGCACCACCCCTTCCACCTCCTACCACCACCACGAACTATTCCCACCATCGTGACCAGTGTCCAACCTACCAACACCTAAACAAAAGCACTGCAAAAGCCTTGTAACGAAGAAAAATTCTATTTAAAACAAATCGGGACAAACCTTTGGTTCCGTTTTGTGAAAATGGTAGGGACAAAAAAAACACAAAAATATAAAATAAATTAAATAAGTCAATCAGATAAAATATTAATAAATTAAATTATTTTATTTATTCTCTTATAAAAAAAATTAAAAAATCAAAAAAAATCAAAAATATCTTTCCAAACAAAACTAATTTAGTTATTTTAAATTAACCAAAAAAAACTAAAAATCCAGACTAAAATAATTCTTTTCAATCTAACCTTTAATAATCAAAATCACTTCAGTTGATAATCAAGTATTACCAATTTTCATAACAAAAATCAATTTGCTAAGAACATCTCCAACGGTTCACCTAATTGTTCACCAAATCTGAGTAAAAAAATGACCATTTTCTCAATTTGATACAGAATACTTCAATGGTTGATTTTCATCAAATCTGCTCTAGGGACAACCGGTTGGTCGACCAGTAAGGCAAAAAAAATATTTTTTTTTTGAATTGTTTGAACCTACCTATTTGAACTGTTTGAACCTACCTATTTGAATTGTTTGAACCTTTTAGTGGTCGACCGGTAAGGCAAAAATATTTTTTTTTTTTGAATTGTTTGAACCTACCCATTTGAACTGTTTAAAACTTTTCGTGAACCTTTTAGTGGTCGACCGGTAAGGCAAAAAAATTTTTTTTTTTTTTTGAATTGTTTGAACCTACCTATTTGAACTGTTTAAAACTTTTCGTGGTCTACCGGCCGGGCAACCGGCTGGTTGACCGGTTCCTCTCCTACAACGGTCACAAACAGTAATTTACTGAAATCTGTATCATGTTCTCAGTTTGATGATTTTTTTGTTCAATTCTCAATTTGATACCAATTTGGTGAAACCGTTGGAGCTTCAAAAAATTGCTTTTTCACCAAATTTCAAATTTGATGCCAGGTTTGGTGAACCGTTGGAGATGGTCTAACCCTACCATAAGAGCATCTCCAATAGTGAAGCAAACTTTTCACCAAATCTGAGTAAAAAAAAATAATTTTCTCAATCTGATACAAGCAGCTCCAACCGTTGCACTGTAGCGTCCATCAAAACAAAGGGGGCGTCCGGCCGGTTGACCAGTTAATGCCTCCTGAAATATTCCTTCATCTTCTTCTTCTTCTTTTTTCTCCATCTTCTTCTTCTTTTCTTTTCTTTTTTTGATAAATATTCCTCCTCCATCTTCTCTCTTTCTTTCGAGTTTTCTTCTCCCTCTACAAAGACTAACATACTAGGAGCTATATCTTGAAATCTGGTAGCCGACAATGGAAAACCTAGCCCTAGTTTCTTCCCCCCAAATGGTACTGGGTTGTTCAGCAAACGCCAAAGATATAACCTCAACAATCAGATACTCCTTTGGCCTTCCTCATCTGTTTCGTATGCCCAGAAGAAACAATCTCAATAAACCCCGTAACTCCTTTTGTCTCAGCTCTCTCTCAATTTCACCCTACCCGCGCTCAACCTCCTCTTCGACTCCCCAAAACCAACGGTACATACTAGGAGCTATATTTTGAAATCTGGTAGCCGACAATGGAAAACCTAGCCCTAGTTTCTTCCCCCCAAATGGTACTGGGTTGTTCAGCAAACGCCAAAGATATAACCTCAACAATCAGATACTCCTTTGGCCTTCCTCATCTGTTTCGTATGCCCAGAAGAAGCAGTCTCAATAAACCCCGTAACTCCTTTTGTCTCAGCTCTCTCTCAATTTCATCCTACCCACGCTCAACCTCCTCTTCGACTCCCCAAAACCAACGGTGCTCTGCTTCTCTCTCTCTCTCTCTCTCTCTCTCTCTCTCTTTATATATATATATATGGGTTTCGACTCCCCAAAACTGAAGTAGATTGAAGCAGGTTGCATGCGCTGGTCGACCAGTGGGCCAACCGGTTGGACGTCCCACCGATTGACCGGTGGGCCCCACCTCCAACATTAACAAACAATGAACTGGTGAAATCTTATGGGTGTTTTGGGAACACACCAAAAGAGCCAGCTTTTTGGCTTTTTAGTTTTTTTTGCAAAAAAGGCCAAAAAATTAGTTTTTTATCAACTTCCCAAAACACCACTCAAGCGCGTCCTCAGTTTGATGAAATTTTTTATCTATTCTCAGTTTGATATCAGTTCGGTAAAACCATTAGAGACAGAAAAAATAACTTTTTTAAATAAATTCAAATCTGATACTTAATCTGATATAACATTGGAGATGCTCTAAGGCCTTATAACAAAGTTTATTTTTTTATTATTTGTAATTAAGACCATAAATATTCATAATCATAACTTGGTGGCAGAAGCATGGTAAACTACCAAAAGCTGGGAGACTTGTAGTAGAAGAAGAAGAAGAAGCATAACCCCAACTCCCAACAACCCCATTTAATCTCCCGGTTTTGATACAGACTGCCACAAAATTCAACTCGCATGATCCCCACTCACTTGTGAAAGAGAGGAAGAAAAAAAAAATCATACATACGTGTCTTGTCCATATCAATTGAGAGTCAGGGACTTCAACCATTTTGGGCACTGAAAATCATCTTTCAAAACCCATCCGTATCCTCCACCTGTACCCCCATAGAACCATTCATTTAAAGAAGCCTCAATTTCAAACTCATCTCTCTCCCTCTCTCTCTCTCTCTCTCATCTGTTTTGTTCTGTTCTGTGTATGCCTTGAACATGGCCACTGTTAGAATCATAGCTATTCTTGCAAACCTTCTTGTTCTGCAGCGTTGGACTGCCACAGCCGATATGCTGTCCCCTTACCTTGGTTTGTTCTTGTTCTTGTTATTGTACCCTCTGTTCTCTTCCTTTGGCTTTTAAACTATCAGATTATAATTTATTTCTACAATCCTATAATGGGTTTGGGTTTTTTTTTTCATTTAACAACTGGGTTGAATCGAGTCGACTGTTGAAGACATGAATTTGGGACTTTATTTTTAAAAAAATAGAATTTTGATTATGAATTGGGGCTTGTTCTCTGTTTTGTTTGTTTCATCAACAGATGCTGCGTGCAAAGGAGTGGAATGTGGAAAGGGGACTTGCAAGCCTGCAACAAATAGCGCATTCTTGTTTGAATGTCAATGTGATCCTGGCTGGAAACAGACTGGCTATGCCCTTGACAATAATCTCAGGTTTCTCCCTTGTGTCATTCCCGACTGTGAGTGAACTCTCTCTCTCTCTCTCTCTCTCTTCTGTGATCATATTGCGGCTTTTTTTGCAAATCTTCTGCTTTCATTGAACAATCTAAACAATGAATGCGTTGATAGTAAAATGCATTATTTTAGTGGTTGGCATGTGACATGGGCACATGTATGACATAAGAATTAGCTTTGAAGTTTAACTTGATCTTCTCTGGATACTTAATTCTTTCGATGGAAAAGTTTTGTTAATAGTGATCAATTTTATGATATAATTTACCGTTATTCTCTCCAAAGATTTTATATTTGGAAGTTACACCTAAAGCTATTTTAGTATTTGAGTATTTTACAAACAAATAATCCCAAGGAGACTACCTTGTTGGTAGCATATATAGATTCCTGTGTATTTTATTTCATTTTCTTTTTGTTTTTTTATAAATTAGATTCATTTGTTTTTATGTGGCCTATAGTATGGTATTTCTATGAAATTAGTAAAAGTAAAAATAAAAACTGAAGATAAAAATCTAGACAGTTGCGTAGGTGAGAAAATGTGTAACATAACTTCAAAACATATTCCGAGTTTTGTGTTTTTATTTAACAAAATAGATTAGATTATAAAATGCATCTGCACAAATTTAGTCCCGAATGGTTGTGATTTCATTTTTTGTTCTTTGTTTTCATTATCTGAAACTGCTATAAACTTGTTTGTCAAGTTGTTTTTGCAAACTATTATAGAGAGAAAATAATCCGAAAACAGCTTCTTTTGTTTTTAAATTTCAAAAACTGTTACTAAACAAAAAGGCTAATCCAATAGCTTTTTTTCGTTGCTTTGCGAAATGCTCCAAAACCAATATGAAAACAAAGGATATTTTTGTATTTTTCACTATTTTTATTTCCAAAAACTTCAAAAAAAAAAAACAGAAACAAACAAACAAGCACACTGCCAAACATTGGGTCTCGTTGAAATCCTATGAAATATAATAATACACCTATGCTCTCACAAGCACATAAAAACACAATAATGTAACTATCAAGTATGAATTTGTTATCAAGTTGTATTTAGCAAACATCTTAGTCGCCTCTTCCTTGTGTCGAATGACTCTTGTTGGTCCCAGTGTTGTACACATCCAACTTTCTTGCGGTAATGAAAATAGACACAAGTCAAACATACAACCTACAATTTAGCTCATACTATGGTTTAAGATCTTAAATTTTTATTTTAAGATTGTAATTAGTAACTTAAAGAAGTGATGAATTAGATTTTGCGACTCTGTTGAAAGTGACAGTTGTTGATTTTCCAGGTACACTCGACTACTCGTGCATGGAAGCTGCCCCTTCTGTTCAGGATAAAGAAAGCCAAGCTGATACATCGATTTTTGACCGTAATCACACACCCTAGTAATCTTAATTACCATTTGATTAATAATTTTTCTTAGTAACGTGTTCGTGTCTTTTTGTTTTGCTTTTGTTTTTGTATTTGGTTTTCTAGCTTGCCACTGGACTGACTGTGGAGGAGGCAAATGCAACAAGATATCGCCATATACATATTCGTGTGAATGTAACCAGAATTACTATAATCTACTCGATATGACTGCTTTGCCATGCTTCAGAGAATGTAAGAGTTACAAACCGACAATTTGCTATAGTGCTTTTGTTGGTTTTGCTCTGTGAGATTTTTTAGGGGAAGTTTTTGCTCTCTGAGATATTTTAATTGACAATTTTACACTGAGCAAAATCTGATAAAATGGCAATCTGAATTGGTCTGACTTTTTTGACATTGTAACCTTACATCCAACTTTACATGCCTAACACAACTGATATTTAGACCTTTTTTCCCCCTTTTTAGCATAGTGGATTAAACACGCAAAAGACATTAGACTTTTGTTACCCATAAATAATAGTTTTTGGATGGGATTTATCTAAATTATTTCAGTTTAAAATTGGACCAGATTTGGATGTAATCGAGTAATCAAATCAAATTTCTTTATACATTTTCGGATGTTTTTGATTGGGTTCGGATTTGATTTGGGTTAAACCTGATCTCTTGGCATGCCTAAAGAGAGTATTAGTCCAACAAATATACAGATAACACACTAACCTGTGAATTGTTGTTATGTGATTGAAGGTGCACTTGGAATGGACTGTTCAGGCCTTGGAATTAATGTAATGAACAAATCTACTTCTCGAACTCGCAGTTTGCCTGATAATGGTACCAATCAAGGTTAAGATTCTCACTTTAAAAGTCCCATTGAATTATTTTTTTTGTGATGAATCTAAATCAAAAATATATTTTTAGCAGAAACAAAACATTTTCCCCTGAAATAAACAGAGTGGTTAATCTTATTTACTAATATGTACTTGCTTCATTTTTATAACATCTACAGCTAGCTTAATATCACAAGGTATCGTCAATTGGTTGATTATTGTCATGATGGTGTTGGCTCCATTGATCGTATGGAAATAGAAATACTACGAAGATGCATCGAGGTTTCTCTGTGTGATTGCTGTTGTCTGATACCCTGTTTTGGCTGTGTTTTTGGTTGATATGTACAAATTTAGGTGATATGAATAAAGTTTATTATATAGCACATTCACACTCGTATAGGGAGGTATGTGATTCTACAGCTTGTTTTATACTACTGGTTCATTCATAGTTATGTTATATCTTAGCCTCTTTTTATTTTATTTTTGTATATAACATACGTTGCACTCTCATAATTTTATTTGTCAGCTTATTAATACATAATGTTGTGCTTGTTATATACCTACTAGTTCATTCATTTTTGTTTTGACAAAAATATATAAAATAAAAAAGATATGTTCAAAACTTCTATTACTTTTGCAATTAAAAAAAAAAAAAATTGTTTTTTCGATTGTTTTCAAAGAATTTTTTTATTTCCTTGTTCTTCTATCCATCAAATCTAATCACTCTTACTAGAAACCTCCACCGATCCGTTGGTGAACTCAATCAATTCTCAAGCTGCTCCGCTGGCAACCACCTTCAGGAACATCATCTCCGGCATCTCACTAATAATTTTCTTCCTAAATGTTTATATGAAACAATTTTATTTATTTATTTATTTATTTATTTTGTTTAAATAAGGTTGGTTGCTTGGGACCTGATGTGATCTGTGTGATTTCGAACCATCTCTCTACGGCCCAAAAAACTCATTCTGAATCTTATCTGGTCTCTGATGTATCCCTCCTTCAGTCCAATTTGATTCTAAATTTATTCATTATAGGGCTTGGGCCTGGGGATTGGGGCCCCAAAATAGGGCTAGGCTAAATTTTTAAGCCCAGTAAATGTTTGGACTCGGCTAGGTTCAAATGGTATTTCATTAAAACAAGAATGTTGTTATTAGCATCCCATCAATTATTTTGAACTTTCATTTTTTAGTTTTTTTTTATTACAATAATAACTTCAAGTGAAATTACAAAAAAAGACATTAATAATTTGATACACCCTATCTCAAAATTAAGTTTACATACTCATTACATTATGAGTTAGAGTTTATGAGGGCACTAACATCTATCACTCATCCATTTTTCCACATCTTATCTTCAAAACAAAATCTTTTAGCGGCAATATTCTGGCAACAACAGTAGTAATCATTTGTTTACAAACACTTCTCTGATAATGACAATGAGTGAAAGCGTTTTTGGTAACAACAACTCAATGAGACGAGAAGAGTACAGCAATAAAATCTTAGAAGAGATTCATAACTTCAATGATGTTCTTAACTCAAAGAAGATTGGCATTGTAAGGGTAAATTTTTTGAAATGAATGGCAAATATAATAAAAACTATTCGTTATTTTTTCAGGATTGAACTTCCAAAATTTGGGAACACAGGTCCGGAACATTGTTTATTTGTCTAGGAATAGGTAACCGGACATTTCTTATATGTTCGGGAACAAATAACCGAAGCAGTAGCAAAAAATATGCAAATAAAAGAGGTTGGATCACCCTTGGGTAGTTGACTAGTGAGTGACATCCAGCCCAATTTTGCTCACACAGAGAGCAGCATACAAGTACAGTAAGGCCATGGATGAATGATAGAAAATCAACAAAAGAACCACGAAAGTGGATTGTGTTGTGTGTGAAAAGAGGTAATAGAAAGAAAAAAAAAAATCAAACAGATTAACAAATTTCGTAATGAAGTAAAAAAAAAAACTTTTTAATCACCACAAATTTTTTCATTGGTTTTGGAAGGTTTCACTTTTATGGATTTTGTTAGGGATTTGAAAAAGAAATTTTTTGGGGTGTGGGGAGTGTGGGATGTGGAGGTGTGCATTTGAATAAGTGAAATGTTTTTACAATAATAATTTTGATATTATTTAAGAGGAGAAAAGAAATTTTAAAGATTTTACAATTTATAAGTAGGGGTCTAAAAAATAAAAAGTCTAAAATAATTAATAAGATACTAATAGCAGCACTCTAAAATAATTACAAGGTTGTTAACAATTTAAGGCAAAAGAAAATTAATCTTTAAAATTATTGTTAAACTCTAAAGTCCATATGAGTGTGATAGTTTAAGGGACAAATGAAATCTTTACATAAATTGTAATTCAGTGTAAATTAGAAAAACTAATTGCAATATCGTGTAAGTGCAACTGCGTTTGTGCCCTAGTTAAAAAAATTTTTAAAAGAATTAAGGCATGTTTGGTTTAATTTTCAGAATTATTTTTAAAAAATTAAAAATTAATTTAGTAAAAGAAATAAAAAAATAAAAAAATATTATTTTTATATAATTTTATCTTTTGAGACAATTTTGATTTCGTCTCTTGAGTAAAAATTCAATACAATGATAATACTATATTATCAGTGACACGTTATATCACCAACCCATATATATCTAGCAAGAAAAATAATAATTAATAATTAGAGAATGATACCCTTGGGTCCTCTTTTTTTTTCTTTTTTTTCTTTTTTTTTGAACTACGGCTTGAGTCTTGGATCATAATTTTATAATTGTTTTTTTAAAATCTCAATTATTGGGAAAATAATTATTTTTAATTGCTTTTTTAATTTTTTTAACAAATAAACGTATAAAAATATGGAGAAAATAATTGACTTTTTAGTAATAATTTTTTTGTGGATAAATTACAAATAAACCATCTGAGGTTTGATTAAAATACCAGTCATCTCCTATGATTTTGGAAATTATATTTCACCCCTGAGGTTTCTAATTTTATAACAAATCATTCATTTTATTAATAAATCATCAACTCACTTAACAGTTTTTAATGATATTATAAATATATTTCAATTAATAATTTAGGTAATTTTATTATTGTACATGAAAGAAATTATGAATTTCTTTTTATAGTTAATTTTGTTAAATAAAATTTTTTAATGAATTTCTTTTTATAGTTAATTTTGTTAAATAAAAAATTTTAATGAGGAGGTATTTGTAATTTTTCAAACTACATGGAACAATTTATACTTTAAACAAATCTCAAAGAGTATATTTGTAATTTATTCTAAATTTTTATTTTTACACCGTATTAGTGACTCCCCAATTAACAAGCAGTTACTAGTTATTCTTGAAATACAGTCACTTAGGGATATTTTAAAAAGATAGTTAAAAGTTGACTTTTTTATTTTTATTAGCTTTATAATTATTATTTTTTGTGAGAGAATAAGCGAGTTAAAAATTAAGAAATGACTTAATCCACTTTTTAAAATAAGTCTTAATATTTTATGATAGTGTAATTGATAAAAATAAATAAAATTTATAATTTTATATTAAATGATTAAATAATATAAAAAAAATATGTGATGATTTATCCTTGTGCTCGTTTGGTTTTTTCTCTAGGGCCAAAAACTCACAAAAATATATAAAAAAAAAAAAAAAAAAAAAAAAAAAAAAAAAAAAAAAAAAATTATCATTCCAAAATCAAAAGTCAAAAGTCAAAAAATCGAAACAAAAAAATCAAACAATTAAAAAAATTTCTACTAAAACAATAAAAAAAAAAACTAAAAAAAAATTAAAAAATTAAGGGCAAATTACATATACCCCTCGAGATTTAGCAAAATTATAGATACCTCATGAGGTTTGAGAAATTACAGATACCCCTTGAAGGTACTATTTGCATAACAAATTAGGAGGCAAATTATTATGAAAATATAAACCTCATGAGACAATTTGTTATGAAAATATAAATCTCAAAAGAGTATTTGTAATTTCTAAAACCTTAAAAATATCTATAATTTAATTAAATCTTAAAAAATATATATACATATAATTTGCCCAAAAATTAATTAAGAAAAATCATTGTCAAGCGACTCCTTCAAATATCCAACTCTTCAGCAAATTGAATACTCCCTCCGTCCCAAAATATTAGTCCCTTATTCCATTTTTTATTGTCCCAAAATATTAGTCCCTCTTTATAAATCAAGTACAAAAATAATGTAAATTTCCTATTTTGCCCTTCTTTTAAATTAATAAACAATTTAAAAAGTACAATTATGACATTGATATTCCCAAAAAATGTACTATCAAAAGGGTAATTTTGGAAAATCAATTTTTTTCAAATACAATAAGTGTACTACCAAAAAAAATTGGATTCCCAAAAAGGGACCAATATTTTGGGACAGAGGGAGTAGTAATTTTTTTCAAATAAACTCTAAAATAAAATCTCCATTAAAAGTGGGACAAATACTCCTACATTTCGCGGTAGCCGTCATTCACCTTAAATTGCATAGCTGTCAGAGTATCATTATTTCTTAGTAAAAAACCTCTAATCTCCCCCTTCCTCGCGCTCCCCAATGTACGGCTGCCACTACCGGCGGCGTACGGCTATGATTAATAAAAACTGCATATGCCCTACATGTATATATAGATACAGATAAAAAAATATTTAAGAGCATTAATGTTTGGAAAATGTTTGGTAGCTCAAAATTTTGTGGTTCAAATGATTTAAATCTGTCAAAACGACGTCGTTTTACACTCAAAATCTATCAAAACGACGTCGTTTTGAGTGATTTGAGCCATTTGAGCCACAAAATTTTGAGCTACCTAACATTGTTGTTAATGTTTTAACGAAAATTTTATTTATGTGACAATAAAATTTATTTATGAATAATTTAATATATGTGTCTTATTTTTTTATTTTATGTCAGATTATTAAACCTATTGTTAGAGTTTTAAATTTAAAATTATTAATCATTGCTCAAATATAGATATATAGAATAAAAGAAGAAATTATTGATTTATTAATTAGTGATGCTACATGTATCAATTAATATATTAATTAATGTATTAATACTAATTATAATATTGTTATTGACCTTACTCATTAATCATATTATAAATACAAAAAAATCTTTTAATTTAGTGAAAAAAGTTTCTCAAAAATATTTCTCTATTTTCTGACGTCTAGTGAAAATGAAAGTTACATAAAATATTTTTCGTAATCATAAAAAAAAAATCTATTTAGATAAAAAAAAAAATGTTTTCTCCATTTTAAAAGGTTAAAATTATTTTCTAAACTATTGTTACTAAGGCTAGGAACCGCCGCAGTCACCACCATACCATCTCTAACCAAACCAGCTTAAATAACCAAAAAAAAATGGTCCATTGGAACAATATTTTATAAAATTTTGCTCTACTCTTTTTGCTTATTTTATTGTCAATTTATTTTGGTTCAGTGGTTAGGAAAAACAGATAAAATTGAATTGGAGATTTTAAAGGAAAGTACTAATGGCTTTAATTAGTTAAGAGTTTTGTTGAAAGTTGAGAACAGTGATGGTGACAACGG